ATAATAGGAAAGGTATAGGATAGCTATACGCACTTGGACTTCCAATCAGACAAGAATTAGAAAATAGCAATTGTGTTTCAAAAGGCTGGGGAGGACTTAATGTAAACGAAGCATTCTCCTCATGTGTTGTTCATACTGCAGCCTGCAATCCTACCCAATCTGGTGGATTATATCAATATTTTTATAATATGTGATATGGAACAAGACAGAAAATATCAGAGTACAGCACAGTGTACAAAGCAGTATCCTGGACTTATAGAAGTGAATGAAAATACTTGGGTCCCTGCCCTTGTAGAATTCTTACAGTCTAGAAACTATCAAATAATCACATAAATAAAGAGCAACAGTGTAATTAAATATTCACGCTCAAAACAATCCTTTTCTTGAAACGTTGGGAATCACTGATCTGTTGTATTCATTGCTATATGCTTAAGTGTTGTGGGAGGAAACAATTAGGGAATTAAGATAGATTATCATTAGGAAAGCTGATTTAGATTGGAGGAGAGGTGCATGTGACAGGTCAGGATTCTTTAAGCAAGTATATGCAAGCAGAGACTGGAATGATGTACCAAAAAGAAAGTGGGAAGAAAGTCTGACAGAAAACAGCACCTTCAGCAAGGGCCTGTACACTTTAAGAAAAAGAAAAGCCAAAAGCCAACGGGCAGAGAGGAAAACTAAAACCATCTAGATAAGGTTTGGAGGTTGCTTCCTTCAGACAGGAAGAGATAATGCAGGAATTTTAAGTCTCCCCAGAGCAATGAGAATGATCCAATTTGCATTTTAAAAGATCATGAATGGAGCAGAAATAGGAAGGAGTCTGGAGTGGCTACTGAGATGATGCCAAGCAGAGACTAGAGGACAGATCTAATATATATTTTGGAAGCAGAAATGATAAGGTTTGGCAACAGTCTGGATGTGATGAGGGCTGAGAAACCATGAGATACCTGGGATAACTCACTGGTTCCCCCAAGTGAGCAGTGAAATGGGATGAGATCCATGAGAAACCCAGAGAAGCAGTGCTGAGAGGAAAGATTCCAGTTCACCTAGTTACAGTTAACAAGTAGAGATGTCAAATTAATAACTATTACTGGATGGAGATCTAAAAAAAGAAGTCAGAATCAAAAGGGTTTTATGACACATGATTCCGCTCTGTAAGTATTTACCCTCAATAATAAATAACACAAATGCAAAAAAATCTAAAATAAATTTTAAAGATTCTATGTAGCAACAGCTTATAAATACCATAGTAGCTGAAGCCACAGTGTATCTGAAAATGTAGAGCAACAGTGTAACAAAACATTCATACTCAAAATAATCTTCTTCCAGGAAATGGTAGAGAATCACTTGTCTATTGTGTTCATTTGCTGTATGCTCCACATCTAACATAGCACATGACACACAGTAGGTGTTAAAATACTTACTGAAGAAATATACCCACTATTAGACAGAATAAACTACCCAGCAAAAATAAGACAGTGCAAATAACAAGTAACTGTGCAAGGAAAAGCTCTGTACTATGAAGCATACAAATGTGATAGAACAAAGACATTTCTCAGGGAAAAAGGAAAATGAGTTATTTACACTATCATAGCCTAATAGTATCAAAGCTAGATTCTGTTCCTAAAAATCAGCTTAATTTCAATACCAGAAATTCCATCACTAGACAACCAATGGTAAAATATGCTCACCATTCCCTATCATCCCTAGATATGAGAAAGAATTAAAATGTAATAAAAGTTTGATATTTAAAGCTATAGTAAAATCTCACCTAGGTTACTAAAACAAGAGATTAGAAGGAATTTTATTAAAATAAAAATGGCACTTACTGATGATTTTTCTTTATTCTCTTGTTCACAAAAGTCATACCGATACATAGAGAATTCAGAAAATGCACACAGACACAAACGAGAAAAATTACCCATAAGTTCATCACCCAGAAGTAATTAACCACTTAAAACATTTTGCACAGAACTTCTTCTGTGCATACATGGTGGTAGAGAGTAAACAGTAATCCACAACTAATCATATAATTGTTTAAGACTATGAAGGAGATTACAAAATGCTGCTATAGCTAGTGTACAGTATAGAGGGGAGACCAACTTGAAGAAGTAACAACTGAGCTAAGTAAGCTATCTGAAGGATGAGATGGAATTAACCAGAAAAGAAGAACAGGTCAGGGTAGCAGTCAAGGTAGAGGGAACAAGAATGTGAGCAAGATACCAGCCCCACCTAGCCAGGAAATGGGGGGAAAAATTTGGCTGGGCAAAGCCTTACTGAGAGAGCTGAAAGGACTTGATTCTCAGGAAAAGAAGGATTGGATTGTTCCAAAGGGCATGGAGGGTGGGGAAATGAGAATCTTTGAGGGTGTGCAATACAATACTTTAAAGATAATAACACAATATTTTAAAATTTATATTTTAGTTTCCACAAAACCTTCTAGATTGGTAGCAAGTGAAGAAAAACAGTGACTTTAACTCTTGCACAACTCCCAAAAAATTCATATTAGAAATGGAGGTGGGCAGAGGAGTGAGTGTGTGTGTGTGTGCGTGTGTGTGTATATAAAATATAAAATATATAAAATAAATTTATATTACTTTAAAAGACCAAAAGACCGGCATTAGACACTGAGTTTAATGATAGTATGGAATACACCTGTTTTATCATCTCTAATAAATATATAACAAATTAGTATCAAGGGAATAATAATTTGCTGTATGAAGAAAAACTGGCTAACATAAAAGGATGATCTTAAAGACACCCAGACAAGAAAAAAAATCACTATCCATAGGACAAAGCACCACACAGAGACTTCTGGCCTCCAGAGAAAGGGACCTGGTGGTGGAGCAGAGCAGGTCCCTCAAAGGCCTGGAGAGAGTATCCCTCAACCCTAACTACCCATTCTTCATCCATCTATTCACTCAAGAAAAAGATTTAACCCAGCAATTCTTACTAGGCATATATCCAAGAGTAAAGAAAATCACACATACATACTAAAACTAGTTTGTGAATGTTTATAGCACATTATTCATAAAAGCCAAAAAGTACAAGCAACTCAAATGCCCATCAACTAATGAATAAACAAAAAGTGATATATCCATACAATGGAATACAAATCAGCCATAAAAAGGAATAAAGTACTGATAGATGCTACATGATGGATGAACATTGAAAACATTATGCTAAGTGAAAGACTCTAGTCAAAAAAACCCACTTATTGTATGGTTATACTTACATGAAATGTCCAAAACAGGTAAATTCATTGAGACAGAAAGCAGATTAGTCACTGGTTGGGGCCAAAGTAGATAGGAGCTGAAGAGAAAGGGACAATAACTGCTAACTGGAACAGGGTTTCTTTGGAGGTGATAAAAAAAAGTTCTAATATTGATTCTGATGACAGTTGCACAATTCCATGCAATACTAAAACCACTGGATTGTAAACTTTAAATAGGTGGATTATGTGGTATGTGAGTTATATCTTAATAAAATTGTTACTTAAAAAGAAAGAGGATATTTTATTTTAGCACCCCCAGGAATTATGGTAAATTGCTAGAAATATAGCAAAGGAAAAAAAAAAAAGAACCTGTTCTCAAAACCCTAACATTCTAAGGGGGGGGGGGGGGGCCGGGGGACACCAGTCAAGATACAAAGACAAAACAATGAGAAAAAGAAAGAAAAGAAATCACAGACTACCCAAGTTTAGTTAGGCACCTAACTTAGGCCTGGGTGGTTCTGGTGTCAAGAAGAGAACTCAAAATACCAGATTTTCATCCTTTATTTGAAATTTAAATCTAAGTAACCTTTTAAAAATTATGTACCTATTCAGCTTATTAAAATCTTCATTCTTATAGAAAAGTTAATAATGGATTTTTTAAAAGCATTTGTGCACCTACAAGGTTTAAAACATATTTTTAATTTTAGACAAGCAACCAATTAAAATCTGTTAATAAAACGAAACAAATCTCCAATTTAAATTGTATTGTACCACCAAGTTCGTGGAGTGTTGTAAAGATTGTATGCAAACTTTTCATAATGCCTTAAATTGGGAGAAAGAGGGCCTAAAAAAACGGAATAGCCGTGTAATACATTCCAAAACAAAGCATGGGGGGGGGGGGGTTGGGAGGAGACCAGCAAGGCAGAATTTGAGTAATGATCATAAAGGAGAACTAAGTGTTTCATGGCAAAAATGGACCTTTAAGAATTAAAGCCACTAATTTCCAGCCACAACACTTAGAAATTATATTAGCAACTGTTACCATAGAAACGGTGAAGCCGAATTTCCCAAGATGAAAAATAAAAATTCCAGCACATTCAAGGGAGTGAAATAGGTCAAAACTTGGTCCGAACGTAGGTGGAACTGAGCCTACCATAAACTGAACACCGAGATAGGGTGAACCAACGCCAACTTCTAACCCACATTTCCAAAGCAGGTCTTGATAAACCGCCTTGCGGGTAATTTACCAAGTTTAAAAAAAAAAAAAAAAAAAAAAAGTTTGTCCTCTCTACTCCTGGAGCAGAAACCTTACAAAACCTTCCTGAGCAACGCCCACAACCAAAGCCAGCCCTTGCAGACCTGCACCGGGCAGTGTAGGGCAAGGCTGGCTCCGAGTTCACCCGGAAAGCATCTGAATCTAGCCCCGTTGGTTTCATCGGCTCGCCTGGAGGAAAAACCCAAGCTCGAACCCGGAGCTTCAGCCTGCCTGACTCCCCGCTTCACATCCCCACCCTTCGCCACGTCCCGCGCGTGCCTGGCATTCCACGCGGAGCGATCCAACTCATTTATTAAGCTCCCACTGTCTACACCGCATCGTGGTTTCAGGCACTGCAAGAAGAGATGGTCCCTTGCCGAAAAAAAACAAAAGAGCAGCAAGGGGGCTGCGGACGAACCCGGGGAGTGGCTGCCTGCCTGCGGCGAGATGTTCTGGAGAGGAGCCCCTGCTTTCACCCCCCGGGTCGTGACAGTTCCAGAGAAGAGACGGCACCGAGAGCGAAGCAGGCCGTACCTCCCTGGAGTCCCCCGCAGACCAGGCTGGAAGGGGAATGGAAAGGAGTCGGCATCTCTGGACCACCCGCGCGCTCCTCTGCCCGAAGGAGGGGGACCAGACTTCGACCCCTGGGAGAACGGCGAGCGCGGGGACCGAACCCCCGAGAGGGCCGGAGCGGACTGTCACTGGCTCCCGCCTCCCTCCGCTGCGACTATGGCCGGCCACTCTCTCCCCAGCATGACATCGGCGGCGGTCGTGGACCCAGCGTCTCCAGCGCCGCGTCTCCGCTGCCCCGACCGCCGCACCCCCAGCGGCTCGGAGCAGAGGGGAGCAGTGCCGAGAAGACGGCCCGAGCCCCTCCCCCCACCATCCCTGTCGCCCGGAGTCCGGAAAAGCGGTTACCTGGCGCGCGGGGTGGACCGGGATACCACCCAGAGGAGGAAGATGAGGAGGAAGAGGGTGGCCTCCGGCCCAGGGAGATTTGGGAAATTTGGAAGACTTGTTCCGCACTGGGTGACAGCTGTTCGCTGCGCACGCGCACCGGACTCCACACGCCTGATCACTCCGCCGCTCCTCACCCTCCCGTCGAGAGGATGGGAGGCAGCGGCGAAGGCGCGCGCACAGAGCCTGCCGGCTCTCCCTACGCGAGGGCGCGCGCGGTGTCACGTGACCACTAGGGCCCGACACTCAGTGGGTCACGTGAACTTCTAAACAGTTTAAAGATGCCTGGCACCTTCTTGCTTTGGGATTAGTCTTCCTCGCTGTTCTTAATGTAGGTTTGCTGTGGTGCATCTTGTTCTCCGGGGAGGGGTATGCCCACTTTTTCCCAGACGGGAAGACACTAAAGAAGGAAGGAACAGGTGCACAGAACCTTGCCCGGAAGTGCCTGCCGGGTTCCCGCAGGGCTGGACCTGAGGGAGTCCACGCGCCACACGTCGTCCTGTGCCGCGACGCGGGCCTATGGCGGCCTCCGGCGCGCGAACGTCAGAGTGGCGTTGCCATGGGTGGGGCTTCGGAATGCTCGGCTGAGCCTGGCTAGGATGTCGGGACTCGCTGCTGGGCAGCAGTGACAGCGTCTTACTCACCGGGGCTCCTGCGCCTCCCAACAACAATGGGAGATCCCTAGTGTGCCAAGGGGTCCACCGATACCTTTTAGCAAGCAACTCCCAAGCAGAAGTCCGTGTTCTTTGACTAGAAGAGCGAAACTGTTCCATACTCCCAAGCACCTAGGTGGAGCCCATCCAGGTGTGCGCTGGAGCTGAGGGGAACCAAGCGTGGCCACAATAGGAATCAAGGCTGGGGAAGCTCTCAAAAACTAGGGATTGACAGCAGTTTGGCCTGAACTGTAGTAACAGAAAGTGCAACTGTCTCCGGATCCCTGAACGTACTTAAATTAGCTTGCTATTTCTTGTTACTACGGTGCTGTAACTCCGCCATCCAAGGTGTCAGAAGGAACCGCATAGACCTTTTAAGCCTTTGTACTGCCAAAAACAGATGGTTAACACCAGATGTTTTGCAAAGCTCAACAATTTTTAACTTCCTACAGAGTACCCAGCTGGGTCCCTTGTAGCGTTTCCCCTAACGCCCTCTTAGCTAAGACTAGGCAGATCATTACACTTCTGAGCACCCGTGGACTGTCTAACGTGCTGAGGTTCCTATTACAATCCACTGATTTCTCCTTTTTAAAGTATCTCAGCAGGTCCACGTACCACACCCTTGAAGTCTTTTCTCCCTGGGAAGAGCATATCGAGGTCAGATGAAATGTGATTAATTAAGTAAGGCTAGTGTGATTATTGGGCCACCACATTTATTTAGTTATTAAATTAGAAACAAGGTTTATGCTCTATTACCCATATACACGTCTGACCTTGCCTAATAAATATACTCAACTAGGAATTCTCCAAATGTGTATACTATGAGGATTCCAACCGTCCTTACAAGTCAGTTGGATATGCTAAAACAATAAATATATAACCCAGCATTTATTTAGAGCTTACTATGAGCTTGACACTGTTTTAAGTGCCTCACAAATATTAACTAAATTTATCCTTATAGTAATTCAATGGGGAGTTATTGTTATTATCTCCTTATTTTAGATACTAAAACTGAAATATACAGGTTAAGAAACTTGTCAAATAGCTACTAAAATCCAGGGTACTTAGGAAGCCATATGCTGTATCAGACTGGCAACCTGGTACACCAGAATAAAAAGTCTGGAAATCTGAATTCCAGTCCCTTTACAGTTTGCAGATGTATGATGTTAAACAAATAACATTTGTGAAACACAGTAAATCAAATTTGGAGGCTTTTTTAAACTGAAAAATTAGAGTAAAATACTAGCCTTGCTGACTTCAAGCATAATGAACATCAAGGAAGATAATGTAAAATGCCAAAACACTTCAAAACCTGCAAAGCACTGTTAATTTATTAGAGACAGTTTTGGGAATTGAACTGAAAATCAAATGGATTCATGGCACTGTTGAGTCCCTAAAGTATCAAATATCTGTATATTGTGAATTACAATAATAATTAACATTCTAGCCATATAGTAGATTAACTTATTTAGATCCAGTTAAAAACTCCAATTGCAATAAGATGGGAGTTGTATAATGGATACAAAGATTTCCCTTGAAGCTTATATGTTATGTGAACTACTATTTAGATCACTTCAGAGATAATAGTTGTAAACTTCTTTATGTATAATGCAGCAAACTGATACACTACAAAATTATATCTAATATAATTAAATTATATCTAATATCTAATATTGAAGTCCATTCAACTTCTGCAAATGTAAGGAATTAAATAATAGTAATGCTCATTAACATTTATATTTACCCTATCACATATGTATGTTATTTATACAGGTATAATACAAATCACAACCAATAATTAGATATTTAGATGATGTTTTAAAGAGTCATGGTGAACAGGAAAGGAAGTAGCTAAAAAAATCAGAAACCTTGGTGTCTGTTCTTCTCTATGTCCTGTGCTGTGAGTTTAGGCCAATTTATCTCTTACCTGGATTATTATATAATGGGTTAATATTAAATAATTCTCCTAATGCTATCTCTACCTCCAGTGCTTCTTCACCTACCCCGTTCCCTTCCAACTCACCTTCTATAGTGTAAGTCAAAATTATCCTCCTAATGTAAAAATGGAATCATGATTCTACCCAACTGAATCACTTCATTAATTCCTCATTATTATCAAAGATTTTTAGACTTGGCTGAGAAGAGTATGGTGGCCAAGGGTATGCAGATAGACTTTGAAGTGACTCAGGCATCCTATGTAAGCACAATATTCAGTCTGGATACTTTTTTTTAATATAAGATTTTAATATATGTGTTTGTTTTAATATAAGAAAAATACCTAAATTTTTTAATTTAATTTAATTGTTTAACATAAGAAAAATACCTAAAATTACTTGGCAATTAAGTTATTTAATTTTCCTACCAAAGATCTGAATAAAATTAAAGGGGAGATATGTCTACTTCTCCCTGGGTCATTGCCCTAAATTTGCACGTGTATGTGTTTGGGAGGGTGGGTGTCAGGCGAACAGGTGAGGTAGTTTATGGTTTTCACATCAAGGAAAACATTGGAAATGATTTATGATACATGAATCATAACACCATTTGAAAACTATTCATTTTTAACAAATAAAAGTAAAACAATAAACATAAGCTGAAGATGCAAACTCTGCATGTAGTTGTTAGTTTCAATCCTCATTTTTATTATTGCCATTTATTATTATTTATACTATGTTTTATGGATAGTGATACAGATATGAACAGGACAGATGTGAAGTTGCCTTCATTGAGCACACAGTCAAGCCAAAATGAGAACCAACAATACACAACCAAAACATGGCTAAAAATAAAAAGACAGAAACATCAATGGAAATACAGATATTATATGCATCAAAGACATATAGAAGAAAATTTGTAGCAGCATTAATTGTGAAGTCCCAAATTGGAAACAACCCAAATAGCCATCAATAGAATGAAGATATAAATGTTGGTATATTTATACAATGGAAACAATGAAAATAAATGAACTAGTGCTATCTAAAATTGTATGGCTAGAATGCCTGGGTGGCTCAGTTGGTTAAGCAGCTGCCTTCAGCTCAGTTCATGATCCCAGGGTCCTGGGATCCTGGAATAGAGTTCCACATTGAGCTCCCTGCTCAGCAGGGAGTCAGCTTCCCCTCTAACCTTCCCTGATGTTGATGCTCACTTGCTCAATCTCTCTGTCTCTCTCAAATAAATAAATAAAATCTTTTTAAAAATAGAATGACTAAATATCACAAATACAGTGTTAAGTGAAAGAAGCTAGACACAAAAGAACACATGCTCTATGATTCCATTTATATAACATTTAATGATAGATAAAATTTATCATATGATGTTAAAAGTCAAAGTAATGGCTACATTCGAGGAGGAGAAAGGGGGCAGAGCAACTGGGAGGGAAAAGATGGGGAACCTCTGGGATGTTGGTTATGCTCTACTTTTTTTACCTTGATGATAATACTTGTGATAATTCATCAAGCTGTATACTTATGATGTGTGCACTTTTCTCTTTTATGTGTGGCATTTAAAAAACTTTTCAGGGGCACCCAGGTGGTTCAGTGGGTTAAAGCCTCTGCCTTTGGCTTGGGTCATGATCCCAGGGTTCTGGGATCGAGCCCCGCATCAGGCTCTCTGCTCAGTGGAGAGCCTGCTTCCTCCTCTCTCTCTGCCTGCCTCTCTGCCTACTTGTGATCTCTATCAAATAAATAAATAAATAATCTTTAAAAATAAAAATAAAATAATAAAATAATTTTTAAAAAACTTTTCAAACATTAGCATGTTAATTTTTGTATTTTTTCATATCAACTTTCTTACTCACCTTTTGACAAATGGACCACCCAGGTTGATTTAATTTGATAAACCAAAAGGTAAAACTTCCGAACCTTCCCCCCCTCCTTTTCCATAACAATTTTTGTAGTATTAGAAGTGGAAAACTTGAAGACAAAAACAAGTGGATGGGAAACCGAGCTCCTTTTTCCTTTTGGTCCTATTGACCCATAAGATTTTAAGTAACTGAAAAAAAAAAAAAAAGAAAGAAAAGAGAAAAGAAAAAGAAAAGAATGAATTTCTGTAATTGAAAGGGGTTTTTCTCTTTTTAAAAAAATCTTTATTTCTTTCAGGCAGGCATTTTCCTTTTTTTAATCAGAGTTGTCAATAACTCAGAAAGAAATGTAACACTCCATTACAATAATTTTATTAGGATAAGTAATTTTTTAGCTTTTCCAGCCATGTTACAAACATACTAATATTTCAAATCCTTTTCAGCTGCAGGCAATTGTTATATTAAAATTGAAAAATATAAAGCAGACGATTTTGTAAATATTTTCTTCACCTTAGTTTGCTGAAATCATTTCAGATAGTAAAGAAGGCAGCAGGTCCATTTATAACAATTTATGACAGCATATGATAATGCCATCTGTGTGTTAACCAATGATGTTAGTGTGTA